CAGAGAAAGAGAGGCGGTGCGTTGAGTGGTGCCGTCCTCATCGGTGCGTGCCCTGTGCTCGCCAGATGTTTCCCGGCTGTTTTGGCGAAGGGCGCGTGCGCGCACGCCTGGCGCGCGCCGCTCTTCGCCTTTCCGAGGCCGCGCTTCCCTTCCTTCTTCGTGTGTCGCCTTTTTGGTGCGTTATTTTACTCTCTCGCCGGTCGGCCCGTTTCTGCGCGGACTCTCTTCTTTTCTCCGCCTCACTGGGTTTTGAAAACTGCTGCTGCCGCCGAGGTGGAGTGCCCCTGGGCGAGAGAAAAGGAAGTCCTCCTTGCCATCTTTCCGTCCCCCCCCCCCTCACTCCTCCCCCAACCCGGGAGTGACAGGTGGACGGTCGCCCAAGGACCCCCCCCCCCCGACGAAATGGCTCTGTTCGTAGGGTCAGCTCTCGATGGTAGCCAATTTCTAGCAGTTATTTTCTTCCAACTCCGCCCAATTAGTGGTGAAATTGATTTGAAGCCAGAGACGTCGGCGACATAAATACAAGCGGCTTACGTGGGGCCCACTGTCGCTTTGGCGGCGCCTATTTGGGTGTCCATCGAGTTTTTTGCGCACACAAGTGACTTCGGCCTGCCAAAGAAATAGCTTCGGTGGCACTCAAGCCCGGCCTGGTTGTGGACGCACGCACATGGACGTGATTGCGTATGATTTCTTTGGGCCAGGCATTTTCAAAACTCTTTCATTAGAGGCGCGAACATTTATCAGTGCAACAGTTGTACCTCCCCCCCCCCCCCCCCTTATTTTGCAGCAAAACGTGAAATATGAAATTAGTCTAATGAATAAATGATGTACTGTCGCTTAGGTGTTTACCATCAGCCGTGGGAAACTTTACTACTTTTTTTTTTAATTTTATCGTATCAGTGTTTTCGCCCTCGCACTTTTCCTCGTATACGACGCTGGCCAGCCGTTACATTTCGGCCACTCTTAAAGAGCTACGATTTCTTTTATCGAAAAACCTATCGAAACCTATCTATTTTGTACAAAAACCTACTATTTACAGCTCCACCAAAGATGTTACGTGAATGACGAATCCCTTGCACCGCAAGCTATTTACAAATTACGTTCACAACAGTGGTCGCAGCGCTGATTGGTTCAGTGCAGAACCCGAGCAGAGAGAGCGAGAAAGAGAGATCTCCATCGTCTTCGTCGATCGCATACGCCCATGGTTCAAGCAGCTGTAGCAGTATGTAAAATAATAATGCAAATTGTCGTGCGTCTGCCTCCAGTCTTTTATCAATTCGTTTGCGCAGGTGTTATGAGAATCAAAACAGCAAGGTACGTCTTGTGTATGTAATTGGTTGGTGTTGTAAATTTCTACTAAAACAAGGAGGAATAATCTCTTTACGGGTAGTTATGAAGACCTCGTGATTTCACGAAGCTCAGCAGGAAGTATGGCTTAGTATTTTTCTCATGAATGTATATTGAATTGTGACGGCGCGCCGCGAAGATGAGAGTTGCTTGAGTGTGCGTTTAACATAAAGAGTAAGGCAAAGTTCGCAGACCTCTTAACCTTCTGGGCTGTTTTCCCGAGACCACTGCGCGGGTGACGACTACTGGCACATCAACAGCCAGTTCAAGTGTTCGGTCACCCCTGTTTTTCTTCGCTTCGCTGGCTTGTGGTCGCTCACCGCGAACCTTCCAAGACCTGCGGGTCCGAGAGGGGTGGAGAAAAGCGCCCTTCCAACTGTAGGAGGGACCCCCGGGCAGGGCGCGTGGCTCGGTCAGTATACAGCAGCAGCTGTGCCTAGCTGATTGACTCTCGTGGACGACGCGTGGCACGCGTCCGGCTGGCCGTATGGCTCGTGGCTTGCATGTCCCCCTCCGTCCCGGTGCCTTGGAGACGGCGGGGGTGTTCTGCAGCCCCTCCTTAAAGAGCTCCCCGCCGCCGCCTGGCTGCTTGGCACAAGGGCCCAGCTGTCGGGGGAATGTCCGGATGGACTCTTCGTGGTCTGCCGAGCACGCGCGTCCGCTGCTGTCCAGGTGTTCGCCAGTAGTCGGTGGACGACAGACGCTGGCTCGCTCTCTCTCCACCCTCGATTTTTGCCCATTTCGGCTCTTATGCCGGTGCAGCTTTACCTTGTTGCGCATGTATAGTCCGTCCGGCGATGGAACAAGAGGGAGGGGGTGCTATTGCGTTTTTCGTCGTTGCTTCGAGTTTGACTGGAACATTCTATGACGTTAAGGAAAACAATCGTTGCCTTGCAATGCGCTTTGTGCGCGCGCGTCAACAACTTGAGCGTTGCCATGGCAGGGGCACATGGACGGATGAGGTCGGTGACCTCACCCAACCTTGTGCGTTTGAGCTACTGTTCGCCTTGCGACAGCCTGCAGAGTAACCGTTTTGTCTTTTCTCACCGTCACGTTTTTGTAGCCTTGATCGACGCGTCTGTGGGTATTCTTGATCGTTCCCTTTTGTGAACACGCTGCTATTAGAGTACTGTTTGATGTTCTTATCCGAAGTTATGCAAGTAAATTGCATTCATTGCATTCTGCTGTGTTCCGTATGTAAACGAACATTCCCTGTCAATTCGGGATGCTACATTTATATGCAACCTCCGGGACAGGCTCCCGGAGGAGGCTACGACACTTTGCAGAACGGCGCAGCGGCGCTTGGGCGGCGGTCACGGTCCGGTGGCCCTTCCCTTCTGTACCCGATCTCAGCGCAACTGGCGGACGTGGCGTGCTCTGGACGAGAAATAATAAGAAAAAAAAAACGGGGTGTCGCTCATAAAAGGTTGCTCGATATGCTGGAAGGCGCCGTCCGCACTCTGGGCAGAATGCTTGCGACGGTCGAGCTTTCATTCGGTACCGTTGCCGCGCCAGCCGCACAGTTCCGATGCCTTACCGGAAGCCACTGGTTGCAAACCTGCCAAACTCAGTAGTTTTTTTTTTTTTAAGAGATGAAGACATTTGTCAGTATTCTGTACAGAATAAAGATTGAATTTACCAGACGTGACCGCCAGATGTTTTCTCAATATTGTAATGTCGACGTCTGTCAGAACCCGCCGTGGCAGCTTAGCGAGTAAGGTGTCGCCCTGCTTATCTCGAGAACGCGGGTACTATTCCAGATCACGTCGGCTCCGTTTCGGCGAGGGCAAAATACAAGAACAACCAGTTGATCAAATTGATTCCGTACCCGGGCGTTCGCACTATTCGCCTTGGATGTATTGGCTTTGCACTGCTCAAGTGAGATTAACCTTTGGTACTGCAAATAGGACGTCTGCAGCTGGACGGTAGGCAGGCTCAGTTCCATGCAACATAGGTGTCACCAGCGTTTTTGGCAGCTGAACAAGAAAGATGCTGTAGCGATGGCGTTCGTGTGCACGCCGATAGTTTCGGCTCTCTCATAGTCGTCGGCAGCAGTTGTAGTGATGGGACGGTCGGCGAAAACTCCGCCACGTCTCGGTCGGCGCTGGCGACGCTGATTCAGCCCGGGGGCGAGAAGGGGACTGTCCCCGTATTGCGTGCGCGGTCAACAAGCCGTTGTGGGCGGAGGGAGAGAAAGCGGCAAACAAAGAACGGAACGCCGCCTCACAGCCTGGGTGCTGTCCTGTGTCAGGTCTGTAGTGAACGAGGGCGAGGCGGCGGAGGAGGCACTGTCCCCCTACAGCCCGCTTTCGTCGGCGGATGTCGCTCGCCCTGTCCGGGCTGTCGCACACCCTGTTCGACAACCGGTGCACTCGTTAATGGTCATAATTGAGAGGGGAGGAAAATTGAGAATAGAGGTGGCGCGAGGGCCCTTCTTTTCAGCCTCCAGGTTGGCACTTTAACCTCGGACCTCGCTTCCTTTGTGCAATACGGTTCCAGGCTGGAAGCATCGCTGAATTGTGTGCTACTCAATTCAGTCTGTGGCCTCGGTGGTCGGAGCTAGGAGAAGCGCCAGAAGTACAGTTTTGTGCGACTGCAATAATGTGGCTGTTACATTGAATCACTCTCAATGTTACACTGGCATAACCAGGGGGTGGAAGCTGTTAATGCCTCCCCCCCCCATCCCATATTTTTTTTTTTCTGGCTATGCTTCTCCTATGTTAGTACTTCACTATTTCCGCGCTTGTGAAAAGAAACATGTTGTGGTAGTCTACCACTTCTAGCATATTAGGTTGAATATTAAAAGGTGGGGGGTAATTGACAGAGAAAAATATTTCATATTTACGTATAGGTCTGGTTTTGTTCAAAAGTCCTCGTATGCAATGCTAATATGCTCTGCTACCTCCCTGGGGGCATGCCACCTAAACTTTATTGTATCTGATTAAATTGCTGGCATGTAAAAATCTAACTTATCGCGAAGCAACAGCAGTGTCACTGTGATAAAGCTGCAGAGATCATGCATGTCTCTGTCATGTCGGTAATATAAATCGAGTAGACATTGTAAATTGATGTTCATTTTTCTTTTGCACACAGTTAAACAGAAACCAGTGATGTTGGTGTACGTTTCCACATAGTTTCCACATCTACCCAAAATATTTTGCCAAATGCCATCTATACACGGTTTTAACAAAGTTTTTCTGTGTTAATGTAACTCTTTATAATTTTTTCTTGCTAACCAAGAAAGAAATGTCTCCCTGTTGATTTTTTATTTGTATTTATTTCACAGCTTATCTTAATAGTAATATGTAACTATGTCTTATTCATAAACACAATATTTTGCACCTTCAGAAACATCACACCTCACATGCATAGAGTTTTGCCAGTAGCTGTCAGAGTTGTTTGTCAGCCTTAGGTATTAGGAAATAAAACAGCTTAAATTGCCATGTAAATATTTTTTAAATCTAATAGAATGGCAAGACCTAGAAATATGTTTTGAACGGTGCACATTTTTTTTTAAGTTGCAAGAAATCTGTTCTATTTGACCCACGATCGAGGTCGGGCCATAGCTGCATGGAACAAAGTTGTCATTAGGCTATCTGCTTCTTCTTTCAGACAATTTTATGCGCTGGCTTTTTGTTTTGGTTCTCTGGCAGATGGATGTTCATCACGGTCGACGCCCAAGCCACGGCCACCACAGTCAACGGTGCGGCCAAACATTACATTCCAGACATACACATGCCCTGAGACATATGCAAAGTGGTACTGCCTCAATGGAGCCACATGCTTCTCCATCAAGATTGGAGAGTCCATCCTCTACAATTGCGAGTGAGTGCCATTGTGTGCTTGTGGGGGTTCTACAAAGGTTGTTTCTTTTCGTCATCACCAGACCTAAGTTGCCATAATTAAAGCTTGCTTTGTGTTTCAAGTATTAGTATGGCAGCAATATAAGACCTGCCCTTTTTTACGTCAGAAAGTTTTTTGAAGGGCTGAGATCAGTGTTGCAGTGTGCACAAAACTGTAAGCATTCCACTACGTTATGTCAATGTAGACAAAACAAAGTGGCTGTCAAGTCAAACCAGCATACTTATATTTTTTGCCGAACAGTGAATGATAAGACTAAGTGACTTCATTCACCTATTCTCTCTTATACTTTTTCAGATGTGCAGAGGGATATATGGGGCAACGTTGTGAATTCAAGGATCTAGACGGAACATACTTGCGTGAGTATAATAAGGTACTCCTCTTGTCTGATGTGTGCAAAGAATGTTTTAGTAGCTTGACAGCCTGAACTGTGCAATATGTGAATATGCTTTTGCAAATGTTTTACTATATTGTCTTCTGCCATGCACCTTTGCATTATTTTAACAGTTTCTCTCTGTGTCCTTACTCTTCTTTTAATATTTGTGTGTAGTTTGCCTTGGATGTATTTGTTAGTACTGCTGGCTTTGAATGACAACTGAAACTGTTGGCTGATAACTTAGCCATTGATGAGCGTAGTTTCTATTGTTCATCTCTGTGGATCAGTAGCTATGGTGCTGTGCAGCTTACCTGAAGGTTACGGGTTCAGTCACGATTACGGCGGTCGCATTTCGGTGGAGGCAAAATGGTTAAGACCTGTGTGCTTGATGTCGGTGCAGGTTGAAGAACACTAGAAAGTTGAAATTTCTGGAGCCCTCCACTACGGCGTCTCTCATAATCATGTTATGGTTTTGCGATGTGAAACCACAGATGATATTATTATTATTATTAGCATGGCTTCTTCTCTCATTCGGAAGGCAGTGAAAGAGTGCATGTGAAAAGTTGAGCCTAATGTTCTCATCATTGCTGTGCAGCCACTAGGCAGCGAGTGCTGATCGAGACAGCAAGCATTGCAGGTGGCGTCACAGTGGCAGTCATACTTGTCTTCATAGTCTGCGTCACGGTGTACTTGTATTACCGGTAAGTGAGCAGTCTTTTATTATTTTTGCAAAACTACAATAGGAGGGTTGCACGGACATCACATACAGAAACGAAAGGACCAAAAGCTACCATGTTTAAGAACACCTGGAATTATAGTCGGGCTAGCTTTGTAATGGCGAGATGTGTTTTTCGGACGCGCTACTGGCTTCACCTTAACTGCTTGCACTTTTTTTCGTGTGCAGAACAAGAAGTGGAACTTCTGATTCAAAAGCCAAAGCACAGCCACACATTAAAATATTTAGCTTGCCAGCAATAATAAAAGAGTGCGTGCAAACAAGGATGTCTGAAAAATGCTGTAGCTCTTGACTGGCGCATACCTTAAAGAAACACATTTGTGTCTGCAGTATTCACTTTATCACGGGTAAAGGTATTTTCGAGACATGAGACGTGCCCAGGTTTACTGACATGATTATGTCACTTCTCTAAAATGCTGCCTAGATATTCACAGTGATGTACAGACAAGCTTTTCCCTTAATAAGCATCTCCTGAGTTGCTAAGTTTGGCCTAACAGTGCAACATATGCGAGGGTGTCCTCCTCTTTTTAAAAAAAACCTGTAAATCGAGCCTACTGCTGGGCCACAGCCGTTATGACCGGAATACTGCCACAGCATCTGCGCGTTTTCACTGCTGTAAAAAAATTCGAAAGAGCAAACTAAGTGCCGTCAAGCGGACACTCCATCCACAGAGGCCGGATAAGGGTGCAAAAAGGGCACTTGCCCCTCCCAAACTACACTCACACTTTGCCCACTGCACTTCAACCCTGGTTCACACTCTTCAAGACAAAATTATTTCGGCTCGCCGATGTGTCTGGCCAGACAAAGTTTTACTTCAACTATGTATGCTTTTCCTAGGCGACAAAACAAGCTTCAACGGTAACCTGAAAGAGTGTCACTAACTTCGCTTAGAACGCTTTGATAGAAGCTGCTTGTAGCTACGCTTTGTTAACATCAGCTGAAGTAGTGCTGGCCGACCATCAACTTGTAACCCTCATTTGTTGAAGTGTGATTTACAATGTAATAGTGTGTCATGACAGGTAGCAGATTGACGTTCGGTAGAGCGTACTTGCTGATATGCATATTGTAAAGGCTGATGCCAGCAATGTACCCGATCGACTCAAGCTCTTCAAAGTACAATGGTCAAAGCACATGCATGTTTTTTTTTTTTTTTTTTGCGATGTCGCGCTGAATAAATAGATTACCGCCGGCAAGCTCTGATGCGGCGGTAAGCTGCATGCACCACCTGACTCAGCGCGGTTGCTCGCTTTGCAAGCCAGAAATGGCATCACCTGTAACCCATGTATAGTGAGTGTAGGGCTGCCAGAGTAGTAAATGTGAAAATGAATGTCTAGAGCTCATGGGAAACACTGATGGAATAGGACAAAAGAAGCTATACCATCAGTGCAGTGTAGCATTTTGCAATTATAGTTGGTATGCCAAAGCAGTGTTTAGATGCTGTTTGTAATGTTTGCTTTGTATAATTGGGAACCATGCTTTTAAGACTAAAGCTCACCTACCAGTAGTTCAGCAGCTGAAATGTCACACTGCCAAGCTCAAGGATTCTTGTTTGATTCCCAGCCATGCCAGCCATATTTTCAAAGTGAATTAGGAAAACCGTCATGTAGTTTAGTTACTTAAGGAACCGCAGACAGCAAAAATTGACTGCTGCCACATCCCCTTACATTTATATCGTGGTATGGACATATGTAACACTAGAGTTTAATTTTTATTTTGGTGAGAGCAAAGCACTGTTTGTGTTCTTTTCCACTGTTATAGTCTCAGCCTGCAATATATATGGTCATTTCATTTTGTCCTTTAGCAGATTCTCAGATCATTTCAGTTAGCTCAGTTGCTACATGTATGTTTGTCATCATCTGCTGTAGTTTTTTCATCAACAAATGTCAGCTTTTGTGGATAAATTTTAAAGCGTAGTACATGTGCAAGGCTGTATACTTGTGTCTACTCATTACCCATGCCATATTGTCCTCTTCCATGTCTTGTCCCATGCCATATTGCCCTCTTCTATGTCTTGTCTCCTTTGTATTCTCAAACTGCTTTTCGTGCATCATTCTACGAAACAACAACATATCTGGGGTGTATTCCTGCCACATACTAATAATCAACATTGTAATTGTTTGAGTTTTTTCTCAAAACGTGTGTCGCAACTTCCCTACCAAGAGTGCTTTGTCACACTGATAGCCACAGGAAGTGCCCAGAATTGGGCAATTAGTCAAGGAAAGCATGTAATATAGACAATTATTGTTATGTGGCAGAAAGATGCTCCCATTTCTGCTGTTACCCTGCGCTTCTGTTACGGCACTGCTAAAACTAATCTCTTTCTTATGTCTGCTCGATTTTTGCAGGCGTAGGAAAGACAAGACGTTCTTTGACGTTCCAGATGAGCCAAAGCTCTTCTTCTGTGACAGGAGGAAGGCGACTGGTCCACAGCCACAGCTTGTCCTTAGGCAGACTGTGAGTCATGGCACTAATCAGTTGAGCGTTTGGTTCAGGGAAGCCACTATTAATCAGCCCATTCATGCTGGTGGAGCACTTTCAATTGCACTTTGTACTGAGATGTTCAATAGCAGTGAACCATGTTAAGGTGCTTCTCGGCTTTTTTAGACTGCATCTCATCTCATTGTGTGCAATATATATATACATCGGAAAATTATAGATTGTGATCACACAACGGTCGTACAAACTCAAAATTCTATAAGCATGAGGACAATCCTACTCCACTTGTTTTTTGGTGAAAGGTACATGTCACTTGTACCGTTAATAGCAAGTCAATCGCCAGGCTGATTCCAAGGGATGACCTATCGGCCCTCCAAAAATGCACCACGGAAGCACATACAATTTAGTGCTAGTCTCTTTGATGCGTCTTTGAATGCGGTTGGGGTCCAAAGGTTGAGTCAGAGCTGAAAGTAAATAGCAAAACAAACTATATTCTCAGATAAGGCAGTACAAACAACATACAAACATGCACACTCGGCAGTTATCAAACGCAATACATTTAAAACATCGGAAAATTACAGATTGTAATCACACAACGGTCGTACAAACTCAAAATTCTATAAGCATGAGGACAATCCTACTCCACTTGTTTTTTGGTGAAAGGTACATGTCACTTGTACCGTTAATAGCAAGTCAATCGCCAGGCTGATTCCAAGGGATGACCTATCGGCCCTCCAAAAATGCACCACGGAAGCACATACAATTTAGTGCTAGTCTCTTTGATGCGTCTTTGAATGCGGTTGGGGTCCAAAGGTTGAGTCAGAGCTGAAAGTAAATAGCAAAACAAACTATATTCTCAGATAAGGCAGTACAAACAACATACAAACATGCACACTCGGCAGTTATCAAACGCAATACATTTAAAACAATGACCAGAAACAACAACTTGCCCTACTATGCAGTCTCATGCATTCACTATCCAAGAACACTTAAAGGACTAGAATGTTCATCAAAAGTATTTAGTCCAGAAAACACTCCTACTTCAGTTGACTGTTAATACGAAGTTCACGGGAATTGTGAACAAATTTGAATTCAACGAACTGCTATAAAAAACCACTTTTATTGCCTCAAACCTGACAGTTCTAAAAAAAAATAGTCTGTCATCTTTTCTTGCCGAACCTGCTTCGGGTAGTAAGTTTTCCAAGCACTACACATGTCGAAATGCTTCTTCAGCATTGTCTTCAACAAAACATAAAAACCGCAGGACAAGAGCAAGACCCGCAGCAACATAGGTAGTCCTCTGTGGTAGTTTGTTTCTATGTCGTCATCCACTCGCCAGACCCTCTGCAGAATTTTTCTCTTCTTAGTGGACCACATGTATCGACATTGCTCTCCATGGCGATGAGTTTTTCAAAACGGACATCAGTAGGAATGGTCCCAAACTGTTCCCAGTTGAAATTCAGAGTGTGTTATACTTTATGTCGTACTTTCATGCGATGTCTTGTTTGGAGGTGCCTTTGTGGTCAACTTCTTTCAAGCATTTAGACTTTCGCCGCCAGATAAAGTGTTCGGTAGGGGCCGTGAGTTGCCATTATGAAACATCACCACCACAACACTCAAAATGAGCTGTGGAAACACTTGCAGAATCAACCCATAGTGCGTTAGGAGCCTAGTTGATTTATCATGCTATGTTTGAATGGCGCAACTGGACATGAACGAAGCAGAACACGCAAACACACACATGGCACTCTCTGTATGTTCGAGCGTTCTGCTTCGCCAGCGTCCAGTCGCGTTCTAACTTCAACCAGACTTAAACCCAGTGTGCAGCTGAAGCGAAGCACTCGAAACATCACAACAAAAGACCTAGTTAGCCGATGCAATCAGTGGGAGGCCCCGGCGTTCACTAAACAAAATGGTTGCTTCACAAACTGTGGCACTGCGCGCAGTAGAGATGGCTACAGTAGCGTGGCCTGACAGCTGTTTTGGCGTTTTGGCACATAAAAAATTACCCATTTTAATGAAAAATCACGGTCCCCTTGAGGCTCTCGACTGGAAAATAACTTCTATATAACCAACATTACGGGATTTCAACTTTGGATTATCGAGCATAGTTTCCTATAGGTGTGAATGCAAAATTGATGGGACCACTTGTTGACTCTAATTAATCGAACAATTCAATTAAGCAACTTCGAATTATTGGGAGTCGGCTGTTGTTGTCCCACTGCTTCTGAGGTTTCCCTTCCAAGAAACTCTCTTCGAAACTTCCCCACTCTCATGTCGTCGTCACTTGATTCCTCCAGATCGACTTACCGCACTTCAACAACAATACTTTTTCGCCAGCATCACCATCAGGCACTCACGCGCTGCCATTGCAGGACAGGCCTTCTAACACTGGCCGAATCTTACACAGACTTCATCATCTACTCACCTTCCTCTACTACTTGCTTATATTCACTCGCCCCAAGTTCTCGAAGCTTCCAGGCTTTTCATCAGCACGCAGCGCATCCAAAGCTGAGGAAACGGTGAGATCTTTCTCATAGTTTTCGCTCCCCGTCAAATAACGCTGTAGTATGCCTTCCTTTCCCTCCAGATGGGTCTATAATTCGCTTGGTCTTTGATATGAGGTGGTTGTCGATGGGCTGCGGCTGTAGGGTGCGTCGGCGCCGGTGGAGAGGAAATTCTCATCGATGTCGTCATCAATGTCAGACACGCATGCCACAGGGTCGGTCGTCTTAGCTGCGCTCTGTATCCTCTGATGGAACCTGCCGCCGAAAACTGCACTTCCTGAAACAGCTACTCCTTAAGCACACTGCCATGAAAGTTAATTCCGGAGGCCCGTGCTTGCTTAAACCACTTTATTAGTGCCTCTTCCAGCTCCCCATGGCGGGCTCCACGAACTTGCTTTGTTGCGCCGCTGAATACCAAGTCATTCGTCTTCAAAGTACAATTTCACAATTCCCAAAACAGCACTCTCACTGCAACATGACACTCTCTAAGGAGAAAACGGGTGAAAATAAACTGCAGATGGAGATGCTACCTTGAGATTTCCGCACCAAACACTCTGACGTTATAAAATGTTTGAAGGCGTCTACTAGGTCCTACGTAGCTTCTAATCAATGAAATTGAAGTGCATTGTACTCTGTGGGAGCCATAAGCTTATATAAAGTCTAAAAAAATTTCATGGAGCCAATGTCCCGAAATTACGAAGAATGCATGGTGGAATTTCTTACGTTACGAGCAAGGATAACAGCAGGAAACTTAAAAATGAAACTTCAATCTTGATTTTCACTGCTAATGATGAACTCATGACAGTGAAACTTATGACATTAGAGTTCTCAGAGTGCAGTTTATCAATCTAAAACAACTCATTGTTTCTCTTTAGCGTCCCTTTAATCAACAAAGGCTTGCACTTCTTCCACACCATGCTAGACACTCCTGTCTCAAATCGTGAACTAGGTACACTGAGGAACGTGCAGCCTCACACATTGCCTGGCCAGAGACAACCTGACGCGGCCTGCATATTCCTAAACCGTACGGCATCAATATCAGAGTGTAGAGTGGCTTCCATTGGCTGTGATATTAGTCGTATCATTCTCAGCGTTGTAAACCATGCGTGCCATTGGCTGCGGTGTGAGTGACGTCGTCCATCTCGTCGCTGCCGTGGTGCAGAGCGCGCGCCCTATGTAGAACCTCCACATGGGTAGGCCAGGAATGTCTTGCAGAGCGCCGACAGTGGAAACATGAGAGAGCTCACATTTGCCGGGCCGATGGTGCAGTACAGGCTTGAGAACAGGCCCGGGAAGCCGAATGCTGGCAGCAGCTGCGTGCCAATAATCCAGTAGCCTTAGAGGCTGTGTTAAATTGCAAAAAACCACTGTGCTACAGAAACTAAGAAGCATTTCTTGAAAAACGTTTGAGGATTTTGACAGCTCAGACTCTTCTCTGTGTGAGAGAGGGGTGACAGTTTAATGCAGCAAAGAAACCGCTGGTGTTGTGTGGCGGCAGACTGCCACTTGGCGCTTCACAAGCATGCGAGAGCGTTTTTTTTGCACTCCTGAATGAGAATTTTTGCCAGTAGAACGTATCGTACGACCGCAGTTTGCTGCAATGCCGAAAGTTGCTGCCGAATAATCATATTTTCCGGGAGCATATTAAACAGGACGAATTAACACCTAGCTCTCTGGAGGAATTTTTGGGTTTCGCGATTTCGAACGTAGGAGCCAGGAAATCGAATCGAAGCGGGAACGTATAAATGAGGTTCTACTGTATTCAAATAACACAAATTAGCACGAAAAAATAGCACACAACAAAAGTCCCACATAATGAGTCCATAGTTCAGTCCATCACTCTCAGCTTGTAACATTCACGTCAGAACTCTTAATATAATTTATATTTCAATTCGATTTCTCGATACATAGTATATAACACAGGGACACAAGTACAAAAATCATCACACATTTAGTACATAACAATGTGATTCTACAAGGGTCTGCATTTGCAACACTTATACAGTCTTATCAATGACATCATTTGCATGATGTCACTGAAACAGTCACTTGAGCTCGCTTGCCATACACTTGTGACACAGCATACTTGACAACGCATCGAGGTTCAACGCTGTCAAACACATTCCCATTTAAGCTCACCATCTATTCTGTATGCCTTATTTCGCGCTTGTGCCCTTTCTTGCGATTCTCTCTCGATCTCTTCTTGTTTCTCCTCTTTTTTTTTTTTTTTTCGGCAAGCTGTTTTGAATGGCTGTGTCGAGCGTGGCGTGTTTGCTGTCATTGACACCGTCAAGGCATCACGGCGTTTATTGGGATGTTGCCAGCTAGTGCATAAAACAGCATTGACTCTGGCCGACCGACTTCGTCGTCATTTTGCTCTTTGTTGATGGTGATCCTTTTGCTGCTGCCTCACCTACCCGGCATGTTTGCTCGTCTGACACGATGACCTCATGATTGACTTTCCTTTACACAACGGCTTCCGCTGAAGTATGGCGTCTCACCTTCAATCTTAGCTTGGGGATGCATACAAATCAAACTGTTGATTAGGCAAACTGGGCTAGTTTTGCCTGTTAGCTGCCACACACCCAACTCCTCCGCACGATAACAGTGGTGCTTCCGGTGTCACCTACTAACACTGTGATATTCTTTCCTGCAATTTTTCTTGGCAGCATTGGCATTCCTGCCGTTTCACCCATTGGACGTGTTGTCATTACAGCACCCACAATAGGAACTTCCTTCCAGCTTTCGGAGGATGATTCTTTTTAGTCTTAAGGACTCTCCTTTTTAACTTTTGACCGTGGACGAATTCATGCGACCTTGAATTGATCGGCCAGTTCCAGCATATTCTCGTGTGGTTTAACTCTCCTTTCTTTCAAGTACAGCGACAGGCTCGGGCGGCAGCTAGTGAGAAATTGCTCTCTAATAAAAAGCTCTGCAAGCTCACCGTACTTTTGTGCTGTCTCTGAAAGCTCCATCCATCTGTCAACATAACGGCCAAGTCGTTCGGAATATTGCATAGCCGTCTCACTATCGGCTGGCTTTCCCAGTCCGCAATCTGTCTCGGAAGCCTTTCACAGTGAACCTGAGTCACTTCAGCAGAGCAGCTTTCACCTTTGCATAGTTGGCAGCATCAGTTGGCGTTAGCCTACCATACATACTGAGCTCTTCGCCACTCAAGGAAGTACTAAAAGCAGTTGCCCATGCTGCTCTGGCCGATTTTGGCTCTTAGCAATCCTCTCAAACCTGTGTAAATACGCATTATGGTCATCTTTCCTCTCATTGTATACTACGAGCAGTTTGCTTGGGTTTAAATGGCCATGTCACTCATTTGGTTCCATTTCATGTTGTGCCTGGTTGAATGCTCAATAAAATCTATCTTGCCTTTTGGTGCTCTCAACTCTAGCCTAGACAGGAGTGTGACTTCGCTGATGCAAACAGAGCTGTTCGAGTTCTATCTCGTGCTGCCACTGCCTTTCTCTCTCAGCCATCTCAGCTTCACTTTCTTCCTTCAATTGCCATTCCTTCACCTCTCTCTTTTTTGATCTCTCAGTCACCAACCTCTCTCTCTCAAGCTCAGCTTCCTTTAATGCTTTAGCGCTCTCAACCGCCAACCTCTCTCGTTCAAGCTCTACTTTCAGCTGTTGTTCTTTCATCTCTCTTTCTTCTTGTTCCTTCTAAGTAATCCAATTCCATAGCTCGACCCTAGAAAAACGCATTTTTTTCTACAAGAGCAACTAACCTCTCATGCTCCATGATGCCTCTCGAATAAAAGACTGGTTGTGTGCACAAAATATCTGCCTAACTGGCTATCGAAGCACTCTCTGCACACTCATTAGTGAGAATGCCGTGAAACATGCAAAAATTGTGCCTCTAGCTTTATCAAAGACTAGAGGCACTTTCTCTCTGCTTTGGAGACACTGTGCACCGAAAAGGTCCTCTTGCCGACGGCAGAATTGATGTCACGTCTCGTATAATGGAGAGGATATCGTCGGGCTGATTCCAAGGACTGACATATCGGCCCCCATAAAGCGCACCGCGAAAGTGTGGACAATGTAGTGTTGGTCCTTTTGGTGTGCCAGTGAACGTCGGTTGTGGTCCAAAGGTTGAGTCATAGCCGAGAGCGGATAACAGAACAAACTTTATTCTCAGATAAGGCAGCACAAACAACGTACAAACATGCACACTCGGTAGTTATCAAATACTACTCACAAGATATTCCGATACATTCAAAACAGTGGCCACAAACGACAACTCGCGGTACAGTGAAATCTCATGCATTAACTATCTAAGAACACTTAAAGACTAGAATGTTCATCAAAAGTATTCAGTTGAGAGTTCTTGGAACTAATCTCGAATGCTTCTTTCCCTGGAAACGCTCGCACTATATCAAGCACCGGTTGTCGTCTCGCTGCACCTGAGGTTTCCCTTCCAAGAAACTGTCTTCAATTTGCTCAGTGTTTCATTTGAGGCAGTTTTCGATGAGTTGCGGCCATTCGAGGAGGAGAGGAGTACTGCACACGGCATTTATTGCTGCTTGTTTCTTCGATGCTTTGGCTTATGTCACGTCTGATCGGCGCTCGTTATTGCCGCAGCCGTTGCAAGTCGGAGGTGTGTGCTTTCTGGAGTGTTTGTTTGTGACAGTACAACTGATTAATATGTAATATTTTGTATTAATGAAGCTTTGTACAACTTCTAACTGCCGACAAAAGAGAAAAGAGATGCAACACTGACTATCAACTTGGCTGGAATATTGTTTACTATTTCGTAAGTATAGTTTCGTTTAATTTAGCTGCTGTAGCCTTTATATGAAAGCCCAAATGTATTCAATGTTTCACACCTGGCATCCTCCGCACTTTATCATATTCACTGGCTGCGTGGAATTCTGCGCAGATTGTGTCGCCACATACTGACGTAATGTCAATATGTGGCTTCAGTGAAACAATTTTGGACACGTTTTCAACACCACTTACATGGGCCACTATCCAAATTCACGGCTTTCAATCCTGCATAGCGATGTGTATGCTGAGTGTTATATAATAATAATAATAATAATAATAATATCTGGAGTTTTACGTCTCAAAACCATGATATGATTATGAGAGACGCCGTAGTGGAGGGCTTTCGAAATTTTGACCATTTGGTATTCTTTAATGTGCCCTGACATTGCACTGTACACGGGGCCTCTACCATTATCCCCTCCATCAAAATGCGACCACCGTGGCCATAATCGAACCCGTGACCTTCGGATCAGCAGCTGAGCACCCTAACTGCTACACTACTGTGGGGGACTAGTATGTCGAGTGTTGATTAGTGGCTTATTACAGTATGTTCTTTGTCTTTGACATTACACATCTACTTTAATTTTTGGCAAATGTGCATAGCTGTAGAATCAAAGAAAGAGGATGTTGATATTCAGTTGAAGTTGAAAGCTACAACTAAGTATCTTCTTTCAAACGTTATTGATTTCAAAGGTTTTGCTGGAAGTGAGAATAGTGAGCTACAGTGTGCAGTCCTGGCAGATTAAAATGCAACAGCTTATGTCTATGCAATGCACATTTCCATGAAGCAACTTTCTCTTTCTGAAGTCCTAAGTGTGTTTTTGACGGTGTAGTGAAACGAAGTTGAACTATTGCTGAAACGAAGTTGAACTATTGCTGAATGTCTGTTCAATGTACCTTTGCAGGACCTCGAGCGAGGCAGAGGCGCGCACATGTGTGAAGAAAACCGGTGCTCCAGCAGCTAGGAGTGAAGTTAAGCTAGTTCCGGGCTGCTGCTTCTGGTGTCTGTAGTGCAGCACTCACTGCATTCTGCCAATGATCCATCCTGTTCAGGAAAGGGTGTGATGACCCATGCTGGACCTTCCCCTACCTAACGCCTGTCCCTTCTTCAAATCTTGGAGACAAGGACATTATTACTCTGCTACATTTATTTAAGCTTCAAAAGACGTCTGGACAGTGCATGCTGCACCAGCAGCAGAGAGAGGGATAGCGTGGTGTGTTGTTCAGCAGGGCTTTGTGGTTTTTTGTGTGTGTGTGGAACTGCAGGAACTTCCCTCGGGCTTTTTTTTTTTTTTCGCATACACGCTTGTTTTAATTAATCCCCATTGTTGTGGAGAATGACTGTCACTGCTGTGCATTCGGCAGCCTTGCCTTCCACCCCTTCGCCCGCTGCCCGCCTGCCTTGCTGCTTGCTACCATCCCGATGACCGATTGTGTCATCGTTAAGCGCTTGTTGTTGACTTCCAAAGACTCTGCTGTTTATCCTTGTTCCATCATGTATACATGGCATTTTGACAACATTCCCGGGGCTGCCACTGCTGCGGAGAAACGCCAACTTCACTGGATTTGACCGGGCGTGACATACATTGTTCTGCATCTTTTTTTTTTCCTTCCTCTCTTTCACTCCTACACCACTCACTTGTTTTCTCCCATGGGTTAACTTAGACACGTTGTTTGCTTTTCTTCTCTAAATGGCACAAGAATGTTGCCATTGGTCCCAATATCCCACCCCTTGTTTCTTCACCTTGTTTCGGTCTTTTGCTAAAAACTTTGTTGTGTTCTTTGTTTGTCATTACTTCATGCGGCTTGGGTTTGGAAGCCTTGAAGACAGCGTCGCTGTGATGCCTGTCTTTCCCAGGACACTTGCCTCTGCCGCCATTGTGTTGATGATAGTGTGGCATAGTGGATCCCACTTGGTAACTTTTTTATGGCTGTTGTGTTGATTGTGTGTGCATGTGTGTGTGTAGATAGTGTACATAATGTGCAACTCTCTCATTGGAACAAGAAAAGGCAAAAAAAAGTGCTATGTTTCCTCGTTGGCTCGTCCTCTGTTGTCTCTCCCCTTCCCCCTCTCTTTCTCTCTCTCTTTTTTTTTCTCCATTATCGCCACAATAAGCTAGCTATGTTGAGGATGGAGGGCTCTAGATCTGTTAATATTAAATGATAGCTGAATGTAGTGCATCGGCCTTTCATCTCGCAGCTATAAATTAGAAGCAGGTGTATTTATGTGGCTATGGTAGGTCTGGCAGGTCCTGCAAAATTAACACTGCCCAGTGCACTGAGTCAGAGCAGTAGGGATAACATTTGGTGCAAAAGTTTGTCACAATACAGTGCACATGCACAATATAATCTAATATCGCCTTAATAGGTAATAGGCATGCTTTATGCGCACAATATTATTTGTTGTCGGTCTGCAAGACTGACTACTTAATAATATCTTACTTGTTGGTCTGCAAAGTGTGATAGTGACCCTGTTGCATTTTTTGTCATATTTGTTACTTCTTCAGATAGCAGTAGTCGGTATATAAGTAATCGGAGATATGGTGACTTACTCTGGGACATCTACCTAGCTAACAATCAACATTCTCTGTCATCAACTTAAGCAATATTCTCTGCGAGGCTAACCTGTAAGCCATATCCATTCCTGATGAGTGTACTGGGCAGTAGCTGAGTATGCTGCAGCTGCTTTTTAGGTGCTCTCGTTAATCCAGTGAGTTGTAGATGTGTAGATACTATTTTTGGGCACTGTGGGCATCTAAAGTCTCTCTTGACTATATGTGATTAATTAATTAGCCAATGGGGCCGTATTCAGTGAGCATGTCTAGCATTAGTCGCTATTTGGACATGATGAAATTCTCTCATCTAAAAATCTCCTTCATGGTGCAGTTGAGAACAGAAACTGATTTCCGCGAAATGGTAGCCAATTATATCTGAGATGGAACGAATTCTTGACGATCCGTTCAATATTGTCTGGCAACAAGATGCTCACATTGTTGTCAGCCTTAACTAATGATGCTAAACTGCGACATAGCAAAGGTGTCCCTTTTAGGAGGTGTCATTCGGGTGCTCATGAACTTTGCTGAAATGGGGACCAGAGCCTCCTCAGTGTTTCTCAGGCCTGTTAGATGTTCCTGGTCTCTAAGCACTGAGCCCTCCCATTCTGTCAGTGGCCCCCTTGTTTTCTCTTGAGGTGTGAGGATTGTACAGCCTTATAAGTATGACCAATAGCTATAATATTATTATGGTTATGACTATTTGTGCATTGCAAGGGTCGATGCACCATTAAGAGCGAATCTCTTGCTGCCTGTTCTCCTAGTTCCTATTATCGTTAGGCCCGTATTTTTTTTGTATTTGAGTGGTTTACCACAGCTTGTTGACGAGCTCACGAGGCAAACGCATAAGTGCTTTCTTCTTTTTCCTTTTCTCCCACATGCCTTGTTAACATGTAGACATTTCTCAAACCAGACTTGATTGACCCCGTGATGCATTATGGGACTTTTGTTTCTAATGCGAATGCTTGAACTTTGGCAATGTTGCATATACCAAGGGCTTTGAATCTCGGGTGCTTGCTTGGACTCTTCTTTGTGCAACCCAGGCACATAAGAGCTGTTGTGTTGGTTTCATTTGTTTGCTTTGCATATGGTTGTTGCGTGATGAGAAGCCGTTGTGCATTTCGAGGTTGAATTTTCATGAATGAAATCTCAAGAATGATTGGGGGGAGAGCAACCACACGGTGTGGCATGATGTGTTGCGTTACATTCTTGAGAGAGATTTCACACGGTGCTTCATATTGGCATATTTTAAGTTGTGGATTGCATAAGTGCTGCATATTACATAGAAAACATGATTCCTGTTTTGTCAAACATAGGGTTAAGCATCTACCTGTAGCAACAGTGACAAGTGTCTTTAGTGCCTTGTGCAACACATTTGACTGCTGCTTTATCTGTGTTATGTAACAGATGCTGTTGTTGGGCTGTTTTTGTAAGGCTTGCACGACCATGTTGTGCCGAGAATGCATTTAGAAATGCGATAGGAATTGATTGTTTCAAGAATGATTAGATTCTTGAGGTGCCGTATTACACTGCACTTTATATTATAGTTCAGCACTCATTTCCAAGATACATAATTACAATAGAAAGATTATTTCAAACTGTTGTAATCGGTAAAGCACAATAATGTACTGCATTGCGTAGCTTAGTATATCACAGTGAAGGTATTGCTGTACCTTTACGATAACGAACTAATTATTTGCTTGAATATTGCATAATGCTTGTTAAGAGCTTGCCAGTTTTTGTAGGCTAAAGTCAGAGTTTGCTGTAGAAGACTAAATGTTTTATAACTGTTGATCACCTTCAATTATAGAATTGGTGCTGTGAAATTCTTTGTCGAATGAGCGTTGATAGAAACTGAAAGCGCAACGTCATCTGCATACCCCATTGAGAGCCTGGATTGGCTGGTATACAAGTACACATCTCTATCTAGTCCTCCCTATTTATCAGTTGTCTGCTTTGAAAACGCATTACGTTTATATTTGGTTGCAGGATGGTTGGTGTGGTTCTCTCCTCTTTTTCAATACTGCCTCTTTGTGTGCTTTTTCAAATGTTTACGTAAATGATAGTGGCAGGTCGAACCACGATGTTCTTAGAAAGCAGTTTTGTTTAACAGGGTAGCTGCCCTGACCTCTACTTATTTGGCCATTGTGAAGTGACTTGTAATAAGTAAAATAAAAATCTATTTGAGTTGAGTCTTGGTGCCAGGAAGCACTTGGTAGCAATATTGCAGTTGTTTTGAAAATGCTTGGACCCCCAACCCCTTCCACCCCTTCCCCAATGCTTTTTGTATCAACATATTTTTTGTATTGCTACTTTTCAGGATGGATTTAAAATATATATATTTATAATCTGAGGCATAGCTTTGTCACATTACCACTGTATGTGCTGCTGACAAGTAACACTGATTGTTCTTTTGAATCCTCCTGGCTGATATGGATGGATTGGCAGATGACACCAATCCAGCTTGATATTTTTTCTACATATGCGCTCTAGTTGTTCACTGTATTTGCTCTGCTTCCAGAGTAATTGGTGTGCTGTTTTTCTATCTTAGGAAAACAAAATCAAGCTTGAATGTTTTTTATGTCATTTTTACAGGCGCATTATTGTTTTGCCATAGGGTTCTCTCTCCTTTTTTTTTTCATGCAGTGTAATGAAAGCTGGGCACAGTCTTACTTGTTGATATTTATGCATCAGGGCTACCTTACCTTCTTGCTGGAACTCCATGCTTTCCTTTATGCCATGGGCAACTTTTCTGGGCACTTGCAGACGAGACAAGTAAGAGATGGCCATACAGATCATGCCTGAGAAGATATATATATTTTTTTCAGTGCTTGATTTCTTTTGAAACAGCACATTATCACAGTTACATTACAGTGGGATGCAATAATCCTCAGATTCTCGTCTGGAATAACTGTATTTTGCCACAATCTTTACTGTAATGCAAATTCTCTCTCTCTCTTTGTTTGTTCATTGGCACGATCTGCAATGCCGGCAAGACTTCTATGACATTCCTTCTAGACAATATACAGGTCTGTAAAGGACATCAGTGTAATCAGTTGTGCAGTTTTCAGGTGCACTTGGTGTGGCACTCGAGCCATGCCCTCTCTCTTAAGTGTCTCGTCTAGATCTCCTTCTCTGCTGCTTTCTCTGTAACTCGCCTCATACTGAGGGTTTAAGACCAAAGCTGATATCGCGTCGTCTAGGTGCATCGCGTCTTATTTATGAGGAAAGAGAATACAAAAGTACTTGTGAAAGAGTAATGTAGATTTGTTGCGTCGGGTGCCTCGTGGTTTGAGGTCACAAAGAAAAATAAAAAGTCACTTGTAACAAACAAGCTCATTGTCTTGCTTTCTTGTTTTCCTGACCTCAGTGTTGTATATTTCATATGTGACACATGCCAATAAGACGCACATGTACCAATGTGCAGTGTTCCGATATCCACGCAAGAACTTCGCTGTAATGTCTGTGTGCAACACGCTTCGAGGGATGCTGCTATATGGCCAAGGCTGGGCGCTGGCCTATATGAGGTCTGTTCGAAAATTATTTGACCTTTGGTGGAAGAAATAAAAACTGGCATAATTGGAGCCTTGTAAACCTAATAACCCTCAAAGGACACCACGCACTGAGAAGGCCCCTTTCGGAATGGAGTTTAGCTCAGCCGTCGTTACAGCCATAATGTCCTCCCTTGTCAGAAATTGCTGTCTTTTACAGCGAAACCTGTTATGATCACAACTCGGGTCACGCGCAGTTGTCCGCCACCGCCGCCGGTGTCCGTAACCACATCGCGTGAAATTAGAAAAAAAACTTAGCACCAAAGACAGTGGGGCTCGAAACCCAGGTCTGCTGGATGCTAGCCCAGTATTCTTGTTGGCAAACTTGCCTTAAGCAGGCTTGATGTGGGGAAAGCAGTTGCGTTAATATGACTTATAAAGCTTTTTAAAACAGTGAAGAACAGCCAGTCGTCGCACAATGCGAATAGCGTAACAAGTGGGCCGTCCAATGCTCCTACCCAATAGAAAAGCTTGTTCTTGTTCCCCTATTACCTGTGGTGCATACCCACTTCAGCCATAATTTCTTGTCGTCAGCCACTGCATAAACAATTGACATGAAATTCCTTGCAAATGTTTAGCGGATACCACGCTTCTTAGAAGAATGAAGAAAAATACCATAGCGAATACTGGCCTACTACCCAAAAGCTTATTATTAATGTCCTAGTGGGTATCAAGCAAGTGTGCTTGCAGTAGTTACCCAATGAGTGTTTTGAAAAGGCTCTCAAAGTCCGTTTTTCTAACTTTCGTTATGACTGTGCCGCGCCTTCTACGCAGACCTGGTGTTTTTCAATTTCCTTGTGAGTTTGGGAAACAGCCAGAAGTTGCAGGGGGTTATATCAGGAGAGTAAGAAAGCTGTTAAACTACAGAAGTGATGCAGTTCCTTGTTTATTTTATTTGGGAACCTTCCTATGTACTTGTCATGAAGCCGCAAAGGAAAGGCTACCTGTACAACCAACGGCTGCTGCCTTGCGATCCACCAGAAGAATCCTGACTCCAGTTTTTCTGAGTAATTAGAAAAAAAGTGTGCTTCAATTTTCTTTAAAATTTCGGTGGTCCCTGAGAAAGTGGTAAAACCTCCGGTAATAATCATCTATAGTGCAGAATTCAAATAATACATCTACTGACACAGTGAGAGTGCGTCTCTAAGAAATATTCATTACAAGGACTGTGTGGGCATGACTGGTGCTAACAGAGGTTTGTGTGTCTTGTGTCGTTTTAGCGAGAACACTGAAAAAAAAAAAAAAACAAGGGCAAAAACAACCAGGAAGACGGTGCAGATTGCAACCAGCGAATTAAGTGAACGCTTGATCTATGCCACCGCCGCTCGAGAACGGTGGAAACTTCAGATACTCCAGCTGAGCGAGAAAAAAAAAATGAAGATTGCATTTCCAGTGACTATATAGCTCTTAATGGTATACCTAGTTGGAAGATTTACCTGAAGTGGAGAAAGTGGCCTTTGTCGTACATCCATCATGCAACAAGCGAAATCACCGAATGGTTATACCTGTACACAACACATTGGCTCATGCTTTGATTGCTGCTCACAAGCCCGAATTGTTCCAGGAATTCAGCTATGCGTGTTTTTGAAATTTGAATGCTCGTGAGTATAGTGTGTGATAGTGACAAGTGTTCTTGTGCCAATGCACTGATTTTTTCCTATTTTCACAAAATTTGAATTTGTTTAATGGTCTCAAGTAGACTGATAGATATAAGATTGATCCCACTGATAGACACCCATAAATCTGAATACTTCAGAAGAAAGTGCACTGGTTTATGCCAGCTCAACAGAGAAATGGCGTCGTTTCAGTGGGATTTTAAACGTGGCTGATACCTTACAACAATGCCTCCGTTCCTTTAGAGTACGGCCTACCGAGGTGCTTATCGCTGTTCATGTGCACAGCGTTGAAGGTCCCTATGCTGAGACTCGCGAAAACAGCTCCTAAACCACTAAGTTGGAACCAGACGAGTCACAGCTTTTACCGAGGCTTTGTTGAGACGTAGCTAACACAATTGAGCACCAAATTTCGTTCCTACTACCTGGAAGAACAAAAAAGTCACAGGGTGACAAAATGGATCTTTAATAGACAAATGCTCGCCTAGCACCACGGTCACGCGAGCTATTAATTTACCGAGAACTCGGAAAGGTGCCGCGCATGCATCTAGGCCTTACGCTACACTCCGAGCGCCTAAATCAAGAAATTGTGGTGTGAGTCTCGTAACATGAAATTGTTGTACACCGGCTAAACCGCGCCTAGCTGTAGCACACGACCCTAGTTTGCTTGGTGCGAAGTTCGACTGCAGTGCCATGGACGCAGGAACTGCAGCCAGCCACCTCCTCCCGGAAGGCGAAGCGGGGAGTTCGGATACTGAAAAAGTAGCTATAAACGTTATACATCTGCTCCGACAGGTGCTGCCGCCCTACTAGCCGATCTATACTTATGCGCATTACATTGCCACACAGATCAGGAGCCTGGGTGACGCCGTGCTACCAGTAAATGTCGTAGTGCGAATGGGCGATTGGAAGCGAGTTCAGCTGAGGTGCAGTAGTCTGCAGCAATATGCAGTTTCGAAGCATAATAAACCACACAATTAGAGATCATAAATAGGTCTAAACTACCCTTAGGACTTGGTGTACCAGCCCTATGTGTTCGTATAAAATCGTCGAAACCCTCTCACGTTTAATGGACCGCGTTCTTAAAGGCCTCTCTGAGTTCGCTATGCAGTTTCTCGGTGATGTCGCCATCTTATCAAACAACTGGGAAAAACATGTCGAGCATTCACGCGTCGTGCTGAACAGGTTGAAAGAAGCTGGTCTTACCGTGAAACCTACTAAATCACACCTAGGGTGCGGCGAGGTGTCTTACCTGGGACACGTTGTGGGGCGTGGCCGGCGTAGACCTTCAAAAATTAAGGTAGCTGCCGTCGTGAACTATCCACGACCAACCACAAAATCTGAGATAAGGGCATTCTTGGGCCTAGCTGGATACTATCAGCATTACGTGCAAAATTACTCTAGCATTGCCAGCCCTCTAACTGACGCACTTCGAAAGTCTGAGCCGGTTAAAGTGGTATGGGACTCAGAAAAGGAGAATGCGTTTTGCCAGCTAAAACAGGCCTTAAGCGAAAAGCCTGTTCTCATGGCACCCGATTTGTCTAAGAGATTTGTGATTCTATGCGACGCGAGTGATCGCGGCATGGGAGCTGTATTGTGCCAGGAAGACAGTGCTGGTAACGAAAGGCCAGTTTTGTATTTAAGTCGAAAACTCAGCGGCAGGGAAGATGCACACAGTACCTCTGAGAAGGAATGCGCTTGCCTCGTGTGGGCCGTTCAAAAGCTAGCCTGTTACGTCTCCGGTTCGAGGTTTGTGGTCGAAACGGACCGCTGTCCTCTAACCTGGTTAAATAACATGTCGCCCAAAAGTGGCCGGTTACTGAGGTGGAGCAGGATACTCCAACAGCATAACTTTGACGTTCGCTACAAAAAAGGAAAGCTAAACGCTAATGCAGACGCATTGAGCCGTGCGTTTTAGTTAGTACTTTCTCCACCTTTTGGTTTCTCGCTGGCGATTCGGGGCAAAGTTTTGTCCTCATCACGTTCTTAGCTGAGTGCTCTCGTCCAGAGTGATCTCAACGAGCCAACTTTATGTTGTATTCTATTTAATTATGCTGTTGTACGTGTAAAAAAGGGCAGCGAAGCAAGTTGTAGCAGACGACGCCGTCCTCGTCAGAGCGAAGTGCGTTTCGCAAGTGAAAGACGACGCTGTTTTCGACGTTAGAGGCGAATAAAACTTTCTGTACGTTCATAATTGTATACCTGTACGTTCATAATTGTATACCTGTTTTATTTGGTTTACTCTGTGTACTATGCACTATGTCTGTTACTGGATGCATGGGTAAGGCCGCTTCTCGTGCTTTAGGTTAAGTGGTTCTTGCGCTGTGACTGCTATTAGTTGGGATACCTTAATTTACTAGCACCCACCCAACTTATCGTGCGGTATATACACAGCACTTCAAAAATAAATGGTCTATTTGGGGCTTCTTTCTGACCCACAACGAAAATTGACATCTATGTTGCGTGTCTTTCCTTGTATTATCACCGTTTTCATCGCGGGTACCTTGAGTTCACGAACAGCGTGCGTACAATCATGATGAGCGCCCAGCTTTAAGAGAAACTTTTTGTGTGTGTCTAATGTGCAGAGGAAGAGCGCATTGCTATAAAGGCATTTTATCTTGGTCACGTATCAAAAATGCACCGTGTTGTTCGGGCTACCCCTGCACACTCAGTAACAACTAGTTCACTGTATCTGCCAACGGACGTGCAACAACGGCTAATGCATTTTTTTTTTCTTTTTTTCATAGTTGTCCAAGCTTTTGGCAACCACACACTTCCGTCGGCGCTGCGTAGATTTAAAAATATATAACAACACATTACCAATACCACATGTGCACACAGCTTCAACTACTTACTACGTCCCCAACAATATCGAATAATAGTAGCAGCATAAAATATTTCTTCGCCATTTTTTAACAGTGCTCTAAAGACGGGCGTTGAAAATTTATACTTTTAAGATGGGGACGGGCATCTCCCAGTAACTCGATAGATTAGAGGAACGGTGACGCAGGAATTAACAACCGTAATTTCGAATGCATTGTGCGCGTGCTAATTTTCATGAAAAATATTGTTTACATACTTTTTTCGGTGCACTGCTTTAATCCATTTCTGTCGTCTGCTTGTTTCGTACCATCGGTTTGGGAATCGGTAGAATTTCACTGGTGGAGTCG